GATGTCAACATCGTTAATTATTGGAGTAATGGAAATCAAAACCACAGTGACGTATCACATCACAGCAGTCAAAATGGCTATCATTGAGAAGTCTACAAATAATAAATGCAGGAGAGAGTGTGGAAAAAGAGAAGCTTCGTACACTCTGGTGTGAATGTAAACTGGTGCAGCCCCCATGGAAAACAGTATGGAGGTTCCTTAAAAAAACTAAAAAGAGGGCTTCCCTGGTGGCGCAGTGGTTAGGAATCTGCCTGCCAATGCAGGGGACACGGGTTCGAGCCCTGTTCTGGGAAGATCCCACATGCTGCAGAGCAACTAAGCCCGTGCGCCACAACTACTGAGCCTGCGCTCTAGAGTCCGTGAGTCACAACTATTGAGCCCACATGCCACAACTACTGAAGCCCACGCGCCTAGAGCCGTGCTCCACAGCAAGAGAAGCCACCGCCATGAGAAGCCCACACACCGCAACGAAGAGTAACCCCTGCTCACCGCAACTAGAGAAAGCCCTTGCACAACAACGAAGACCCAACGCAGCCAAAAATGAATAAATAAAATAAATAAATTAAAAAGAAATAATGCTAGAAAAAAAAACTAAAAGGAGAACTTCTATATGATCCAGCAATTCCTCTCTTGCGTATATATCTGGAAAAATGAAAACTTTAATTTGAAAATATACATGCACCTCAATGTTCATAGAAGCCCTGTTTACAATAGCCAAGACATGTAAACAATGCAAGTGTCCATCAACAGAGGACTGGCTTAAGAATTGTGGTGTGAAAATAGAAATGGATTCACAGGATTTCCCTAACCATCCAGTTTTTAAGACTCGGCACTTCCAAGGCAGGGAACTTGTGTTCGATCCCTGGTCAGGGAACTAAGATCCCACATGCTGCATGGTGTGGCCAAACAGAGAAACAAAACAAACCAACAAAAAACAAAAAAAGAAATGGACTCACCAACATAGAAAACAAACTTATGGTTACCAAAGTGGAAAGGAGGGGGAAGAATATAATTTGGGGAATATGACAAGCACAGAGCCTGACAAATGGCCATTGCCCACTAAACGTGAGCTTGATCTTCTTGAGCTGGAGTAGGAAGCCCCTCCCCGCACATGACGACAGGGAAGGGGGTTCCTTGAGCCCCAAGCTCCTTCCTTTCTCCTTCTGAGAATCCAGGAAAAATTCCTGCCCCAAAGTTTGACATGGCCCAAGAAGTAAAGGACAAAAGCGTTCATGTTGGGGTGTCTGTCACCCAGTTTTTTGTGTATACTGGGGTAGCCATTAAGAGGTAGATGTCACCATAAGGGGTTGGCTTCCTATACCTGGTAGGGCCCAGTCTGAGGGCAGGAAATGGGGAGGTGCCCGCTGCTCTGCAGAAGAGTGAGAAGGACCACCATTTCCATGATACCTACTGGTTAAGGTTTTAGTTGCAAATAACAGAATCCACTGTAGTTGGTTTAATTATAATATGAATTGATTTAAACATAAGGCCAGACTGTTTGAAGACACAGACGTTCAACATCACTGTGGGGAAAGGGGCTTCTTTAGTGAAAAGACCACTCCCACCACCGATGCTGAGAACTGGATGCCACAAATTCTACATTTGCCAGCACAAGGAGAGCAGTGATGGTGGGGTGGAGAATGAAGGTGAGGATGCAGTGAGGAAGAAAATTAGGACAAGAATCCTGGCTTCAAATCCCAGACTCTACAGTCACTGCAGTCATGACGAGTTTTGCTCCTGTATAATTCCTTCACAATGGGTCCATAGGTTTTATAATACTATTCTCGGTACTTGGGGTGTTGTTGCAAGTTTACACCATTAAAAAAGAAAATGTGAAGGAATCATGCTGTCATGGAGAAAGGCGTGGAAGAAAAGACACCAGTGTGTTTACATTGATGAACTCATGGGGACTGGATTGATGGAATATTGATATTGATATTGTGACTTATATAAAAATATTAATTTCGTCTTCATCCTATTTCTGGCACAGAGCTCCTAAAACTGTTGGAATTTTCTAAGAGATGAGAGCAAAAAGGACATTTTTATCATGTGAGGGAGGTGACTTTTATAAAGCCCCAACCTAAGCCAAGAATGGGGATTGGTTGCCAGGGAAACAAGTGCCTCATTAGGGGGTGGGAATTTTCATTCCCACTTTCCCCCTTTCCCTGCCCCCACACCTCAGGGAGGGGAGAGGGGTTCGAGGTTGAATCAATCACAAATGGCTAAAGATTTAATGACTCATGATTTGTGATGAAGCCTCCATAGAGACCTCAACAGAGCAAGTCATACATGTTATTCAAGAGAACTGGGATCAACCCAGGAAACATAGGTACACACTCCAACATGGCTCACCTGGACCACTGCAGCAGCCTGCCCATGGCCTGTCTCTGCCCTTGACCCCTTGAGGCCACTCCCACACTGCAGCCACAGGGATTCTGTTATAACTTGAGTTCTATCCCATTGGTCACATAACTAGTCCCTCAGTGACGCCCCCATCTCTCTCAGAGTCAAATTCTGATTCTTATAAAGTCCTACAAGGTTGGTCAGGACCTGCCCCCATGGCTTCTCTGCCTCATCCCCTTCCACTCCCCTCCCCTTCACCCACTCAGCTCCAGCCACCCTGGTCCTGATTGTGGCTCAAACATACCAGGCACGTTTTTCTGCAGCCTCTGCCTCCTTATCACAGAGGGTTTCACTGACCCTCTACAGAAAGAGCACAGCCTCCCGTATCCCCATCACTCTCTTTCTTCAAAACGCTTAGCACGACCTGCCCTAATATTTTCCCCTTTCTTTATTGTCTCTCTCTCTTAGAAAGCAGATTATTTTACTATATTTTATTTACAGCTGCCTCCCTACAACATGACCTACACTTTTTAGGGACAAAAAGCATAAATATTTGATAAATATTTGTCAAGGGAATGAATCTCCCATTTCATACTCATGCCAAGTGCACCATCATTGAAGAGACTGCATATAGTAAAATTCCTGTTAGTCTATTGGATGATGGGGCATGTCTATATAATTATGAGTCTACCTCTAACATTCTATATCCTGATAGGAAAATAAAATAATAGTCTGACAGGGGGCAAGCGGAAGGGCCTAGAGTTTGGGGGGTTTTTTTGCGGTACACGGGCCTCTCACTGTTGTGGCCCCTCCCGTTGCGGAGCACAGGCTCCGGACGCGCAGGCTCACCGGCCATGGCTCACGGGCCCAGCCGCTCCGCGGCATGTGGGATCTTCCCGGACCGGGGCATGAACCTGTGTCCCCTGCATCGGCAGGCGGACTCTCAACCACTGCGCCACCAGGGAAGCCCGGGCCTAGAGTTTTGACTAATACTGTACAAGCCCGGAGAAAACAGTCTTCTCCCCACGAGCAAACTCATGGAAGTACTGCACTTCTTGCTCTCCCTGAAGTTGCCTCAGGAAGGGAAGAAGTTCAGCCGTCACTGAACTTTCTGATTAATTTAGTAATAGAGAAATGATCATTATTTGACCCATAAATTTCTTTTGGGGGCCTTGGTGAGGAAACGTAGGTAGACAAGTCTTTCAGACTAAGAAATTTTGGTGGAAAATGGCCGTCACTGACCATGAAATGGGTAAATTCTTTATACTCATGATAGGTAATCCTTTCAAAGAAGCCATGTAACATGGTCATGCTCAGGTGAGGAAACTGCAGATGACTGGTAAGGACTTCTGAGCGCACTGTCCCACATACAATAGTCCGCTGTCCCCAGACCTCACCCCAGCCACACATTAGAGAGAAGAGTGTGTCCGGGGTTTTTCCCTGACTGCAAATATGTGGTGTCCCTACCAATACCCACTGGGCGGTCCACAAGTCAATTCACTTCTGACACTAAATCTGCGGAGGGAGCCCACACCCCAAAGGTTGAGGGCTCAGTCCCTGAGGACGGCCCCCACTTCAAGTGCCGATCACAAGTCCTGGGGTCACCCATACATGCGGCCAACTGGCTATAAATTATGAATTCAGGGGTTCCATGACCCCACCTCCCATATTCAATAATCATTAGTACCACTCACAGAACCCAGGAAAACCCTTTACTTACTGTCCCCAGTTATTATAAAACTCCGGGACAGCCCTATGGAGGAGATGCGCAGGGCAAACAGGGAGTAGAGGTGTGCCGAGCCTCCATGCCCTCTCAGAACACCCCCTCCTCACAATCCCTTGATGTGTTCACCTCCCCTGAACCCAGTGTTTATGGGTTTTAATTGAGAGCTTGAGGTAAGCAATTTTTTTTTTTTTTTTTTTTTTTGCGGTACGCGGGCCTCTCGCTGTTGTGGCCTCTCCCGTTGCGGAGCGCAGGCTCAGCGGCCATGGCTCACGGGCCCAGCCACTCCACGGCATGTGGGATCTTCCCGGACCGGAGCACGAACCCGTGTGCCCTGCATCGGCAGGGGGACTCAACCACTGCACCACCAGGGAAGCCCTGAGGTAAGCAATTTGATTGAATCATTGGCCATTGGTGACTGAACTCTACCTCAGTACACTCTCCTCTCCCCAGAGGGGCTGCGGGTTGAAGGTTCTAACCCTCTAATCACCAGGTGGGATCTTCCGGAGTCCAGTTCCATCCAGAAGCTATCTAGGGTCCCATCTTTGACTCATCTCATGACCTACGAAGACAGTAAATTCCAAGACTTTCAGGAGGCCTGGGCCATGAACTGGGACAAGAATCAAATGTGAACCTTTTCTTTACATTAAAGTGAGGTTCAGGGACAGGCAGTGACCAGGAATAGACAGTCTCAAAGATGGGGTCCCTGGTCCGGTACGGTTCGGTGGGCTCCTTTTTCTAAAAGCTGAAACATAATGATTCCTTTTGAGAGTCATGAAATGTCCCTGGAGTTACAACTGCCCAACTTTCCAGGAGAAATCCAGAGAGGCTGTCAGCACCCACCCCGCCCCTGCTCCCCAGCCCCTCCCATGGACTCGCCTCATTCCCTCCCCCCTCCCCCCAGCCTGTAGAGGAGAGGTGAGCCGGGACTTACCCTGGACCTGGTTGCTTGTTTCACCTTCCAGGGTGCCAGCCACCAGGGTGCCCAGGAGGACGAGAAGGGCGATGGAGAGGCAGAGCCGGCTCATGTTCGTGGCCTTGCAGGAGGGCTTCTGAGGAAAGCTGGGGGCTGACAGAGCTTTTCATATCCCAGCTGAGGGGTGGGAACAGGGAATAAGGAGGGGAGTGAAGAAGGGGAGGATCTGGGGTCAGAGCTGTTCATGCGCATCTCCCCATATAACCAGGCTTCCTGCCTCTGCCTGCTGGGGCCAAATGCCCAGTAACAGCGATTCTCAAACTTGACTCTGCCTGTGGGTCTTGTGAAAACACAGACTGTGATTCCACAGGTGGAATTTGTCTGATTTGTTCCTCACAGAGCATCCCAGCACCTAGAGCAGTGCATGGCACGTGATGGCCGGTCAGTGGGTGGATGAGAGCAAATCAAAGGACAGATAAGTGAACAGCAGTGTTTTAGCTCAGGTTCTCCTCTGCAGCCTCCTACAGCTGTCAATCACATCTGGGCAACCATGCCCTTCATCCGGAGTTTCCTGATGGTGCAAAGTTTAGGAATCCGCCTGCCAATGCAGGGGACACAGTTTCGATCCCTGGTCCGGGAAGATTCCTGAGACCGCGAAGCAACTAAGCCCCTGCGCCACAGCTACTGAGCCTGCGTGCCACAACTACTGAAGCTCGTGCACCTAGAGCCCGTGTTCCACAACAGGAGAAGCCACCGCAATGAGAAGCCCGTGCACCCCAACGAAGAGTAGCCCCCGCTCGCCACAACTAGGGAAAGCTTGTATGCAGCAACGAAGACCCAACTTAGCCAAAAATAAATAAATAATTTTTTTAAAAAATGCCCTTCACCCCTCACCTTAACCCCACCTACCTCGGAAGACAGCTGTGACACAGGGCTGCTTCCTGCAACCATGGTGGCAGCATCTCAACTGGATGGATAAAAGCTCTTTACCTGGCACTGCTCCAGAGGATGGTGAGCTGGGGGAAGACTATCTCCATCCAGGGCACAAACCCTGATTTTCTGGGTAGAAAAAAGAAGAAGGGGCGTGGGTAGAGGGGAAGCAGGGAGGCGAACACGTCTCTACAGCACGACCACTCACCACCCCTCACCTGGCTTCACCAACAGGTGAGCTGCCTGCCTGAGTGGATCTCAGGGGCTGGAGTGGATCTGTGGGGAGCTAGGAAGACCACCTGCAATCCCCCCTCCTTCTGCCCTCCCCCAGTGGTTTTGGATTCAGAGGAACTCAGTTTGCATCCCAGCCCTGCCTTTTCCTAACTTTGTGACCTGGGGACAGAGATTTCACAGAGCCCCGTGTCTTCAGGTGCCACATGAGATCCCTGCTGCCCACGTCATGGGGTTGCTGTGGAAGCAGTGGAGGCAACAGACATATATTCCTTCCCCCTGCAAAGTCAGTGCTTGTAATAAGGATAATAAGTAATGACAACAGTTAGTTCCTTCTTGACGTATATTAACTCATCTAATCCTCACGATAACCCTAAAACAGGGGACGAGGAACTGTTACTATTTCCTCACGTTACAGATGAGGAAACTGAGGTAACAAGAAGTTAAGTAATTTGCCTAAGGTCATACAGGGTAGAGACAGGATCTGAACACAGGAATCTGGCTTCAGTGTGTCTGTGCACCATGCACTCTGCTGCTTTGTAAGCTGTAAAGTGCAGTGCACGTGTCAGGGCTTACACGCCCGCAATCTCTTCACTCCCATCTATTCACTCCCAGGTACCACCATGTAGCACCAACGCCCCCACTCATCCACACACAGACACGCATTCTTCCACTAACACACACACACACACACACACACCCTGTGACCCACTTGCAGGGTCAAGGAGAAGGGAGCTGGCTCAATGCCCAGAAGCCCCAGGAGCAAGCCCAGCCAAGTGTCAAACGGGCACACAGCTGGGTGATGAGCTGCAGAGGACAGGAGGGGCTGTCTTCCTCGCACAAAGTCACCCTTTCCCTTGAGAAGGGCAGGAGCTCTCAATACCGAGCTGCACCCGGACAGAAGGGCTTCAGGAGCGGGGTACTCACAAAACAAGCCACTGTGTGTGGAGGGTCTACTCTCTCCTGAGACATTTCACATGTATGATTTCATTTAGCCTCATGTCGACCCTACAACATCTGGGATTCTCATCCCATTTTGCCAGCGAGAAAGCAGAGGCTCGGAGAGGTGAAGCGACTTGCTCAGGACCCACAACCAGCAGACGGCACAACTAGGATTCTAGCTCAGGAGGCCCTCTGGTCCTGCCCCTCTTCCTGCCTCAGTCTGTCCATCTGAGACCAGGGAACAGCAGAGACTCCCCCTAACAGCGAAGACTCCTCTTTTCTACCCCCTCCTCTCTCATTTGTCCGTCTGCCTCTGGCTTTCTCTCGCAGTGTCCTCTGGCTTTCTCTAACCTGGTCCAGGTTAGAGGCCTCCTACCCAGAAGCTGCCCCTGATGAGGCCTCTAATTACAAACCTTCCCGGCCCCGGCGGGCATCTTCAGAGAAATCACAAGGCGGGAACATCACAGGGTGTGGGGGAACCACGTCATTTACACAAGAGCGCTGGCCCAATAGTTTGAGTTTCCTGCTCCCTTCTGCTAGTCCCAGCTCCTAAGGGGACTGAGGCAGCCACCTTTGCCATCCTAAGAAACAGACCCATCAGAGCTGAATGACATAGGTGTGTAGATGTTTGTATAAAGGAGGGACTTGGTGCCGGAAGAAGAACTGGGGAAGCCTTCTGAATAACTAAAAGCCAGAATTTCACCGAAGGTACCTATCAGGCAGCCTCGGTTTTGATACCTCATCTAATGGGGAGTCTACTATCACTTGGACAGCAGGTGCTAGCTGGCAGCATTCATCATTAAAACACCCCTTTGTCCCGTTGAACCAATAAGAGCTCCCCCCCTTCCTTCTGACCTACTTTATCACTTCGGTCTTGACTCTACTGTCAATAACACAATTGACCCATTCTAGGTTTTTGTCCTAAGACAGTTCTACAGAGACGTGGACATGACAATCAAGGTGGTTCCCCTGTCTCCCACAAAGTGTCTTTTAGGGATCCAGTGGTTAAGACTCCACGCTTCCACTGTAGGGGGCACGGTTTCAATCTTTGGTTTGGGAACTAAGATTCCACATGCCATATGTGCGGCAAAAAAAAAAAAAGTGTCTTTTAGATTTTTATGTAGTATATGCTGAGTCCCCGCCATCAGCTTCAGATTCTTAGGCCTCAGAGTTCGGGGAATCCCTCTTTTTCACTTCCGACAATTTATGCAGTTGTTGATAAGATGGTACCCACCCTCAGGAGGTGCCCCATCACTGAGTTGGAGGAGAGAGGTTAGTGTAAGAAGAAGAGGCTGGTCAGTAAGGTCAGAGCTCCCAAGTCATCCTCCGGCTAGCTTCCCCAATTTGGGCCAAGAACAAGGAAATCAGGTACTGTGGGAATATGAACTAGTGAATGAAGATGACTGAGAGGAGAGGGTAGGAGTAGATGGTGGGCAGGGGTCCACGGCTCAGGGAGGTATTTCCCAGGATGCACCTCTCTTCTAGTTTATTATAAGACCTTTCAGGTGCAAGGGATTATTGGATAACTTGTTCAGATTCCAGTGGGTCCCCACTGAAGGGAGGTCCCTGATCTCCCAGGTGGAGCCAGTTTGACAGTATTCTCATGCCACTGCCTCTGGGACGATGTGAGCTGGAGGGACCCTTGTAGAGCAGAACCTAAATACCTCACTACAGGTGAGATAATGGAGGCCTAGAGCCTTCAAATAGAGGGCTTATTAAATAAGAGAACACTAACAGAGCTGCTCTGTCCTCACTACTTTGAAGTCTTGGGCAAATTTCTCAACATCGCTGAGTTTCACTTTCCTTATATAATAAAGAAGGATAATGCTTATACCTGTCAATATCTCCAGCCACAAACCACCTGAAACACTCCTGTTCCTAGCTGAATGAATCGTGTTTATTACACACCCTGGGGAACTATAGGGCTTCTCCTTAAGAGGATTTTAGGAAGGATTTATAGGAGGTGGGCTTGTGTTAGGTGATTTGGGGGCGGTGTTTCAGGAAGCTGGCTCTGCTCTGGATGGATGCTGTCAGGAAGCGGGGCAGTTCTCTGAATGTGTACCTTTATCTTAACTCTAAGAAGGGAAGCCTAGATAGAGGTTAGAGCCGTACTTGGTAAAGAAGTAGTGGTCACTCAGCTATACTGAGGGAGATGCTTGGATATTTTGGTGGTTTGTATAATTTACCTCTTTTTGTCTGTGTTCAAACATCATTACCGAATGTCCTATTTTTGTCTTGATCTTTCATGGACACAGAATGGCCTTGTCTGATGTTGAAGGTTTCTGAAATGTTTCTGTTGAGTAGGAGAACATAAGGCCCACTGTAAATTCAGCTCAGATCTTAGAACTCAAACGTTGCTTTTCTCTTTCTCTATCAATCTCATAATGTTGTGATGAGAATTAAAAACATATATTTGTTAAATGCTTTGTACAAGTATTGGCAGAGTAAACTTTTAGTGAATGTGTGATCAGATAATGGTAAGAGTAACACTATAAATATTTAAGTTATTTAATTATTATTAATGATTATTAATTTATAACAGTGTAATGGGAAAATGAGTTGGTATTCATGAAAAGAGTTTGGCTTCAATAACTCACTGTGTTGCTGTGTGATCTTGGGCAAGTCACTTCACCTCTCTGAGCCACAGATTCTTTCTTTGTAAAAGAGGATGATGGTATCTGCCTTAAGAAATCCCCAGGTTTGGGCCCTTTTGAGGACCATGTTGATTAGGCTGCTAAAGTTCTTTGCACACCACTTCCTAAAGCAAATTGTCTAGAAGCACATAGAGTTTTAGTTTCCTTAGCTCCGGACTGCTTTTTAAATGTGTTGTCTACTGTAGAAAAGAAAGGAACAAACAGCACTGATGAAGTGTCCCCTTCTAGAAGTCCACCCTCAGGAAGTTCCCCCAGTGCCAGAGGAGAGTCACAGTCTCTCTTCCAAATAGGTCTCCTTCTTCGTCAGAGGTAACCGAAAACCCTCTTGCTTCAGTGATTGACCTTACCCCGGTCCTGCCCTTTTCCCACCCCACGTTGCCATTATTTGACTCCCTGGTCAAAGGAGCTAAGTGTTAACTGTCATATAACTCACTGTTATCCT